AAATGATTGAAGAAGACCTTTGGTACTTATGGTGTGTTTCTCTCTTGTTCCATTATCTCATAGTTTTTCCCACTTTCAAAATGTTTGAGTTTCTCAATAATTTCCAAAATGAGTCATCCCTCTTATGGAAATTATTAACCTGGTATCAACCCATTCCTTATTGGAAAAAAGATATCCAAACAGAAATGGAGAGGCTATCCATTTAGAAAGAGATTAATTTACCACCATCTGAGTTCCCAAGAAATGTTACTGTGGTAATCATTTATAGGCCTTACTTTGAACATCCAACTTCTAAGTTACTTTATACCTAGAATCAAGTTAGATTTTGAAATACATATGGAAGTATAAAGGATGTATTTGAACCAGAAAGACCACCTTTTCACCAGGCATATTTAATTACCCATCTTCATGTAATTGATGGAGTTCAAGAAGAAATGACCAAGGTAGATTCCACTTGTTCAAATCTAAAACCTATGGATATTATTTTCCCTCCAGATCCTCATGATGATAACATGTGGAATAAGATTCAACAAGTGGTTCCACCTCTTGTCTCTTCTAATCTTGCTTTCAGAAATTGGGAAAGAGAAGCACATGTCATTATTCGTGATGAAGCTGAATCATCACCAGCTGATACTGTGATGGTTTCTCAAGATCCTTATAACTCAGTAATGGATCAAGAAGGGTGAGGTATTGATGACGATCCAAATCTCTCTCCTAGTCATGAGCTTATCTTCAAGGACTGAAGAATCTCTAATAAAGAAACTTTATGTAATAAAGCATCTTTATGTATTATGTTTTTAATGTGACTTATATGTACTAAAAGCTTTATGCTTTGTTTGGTTGTTTAAAGTCTCTTTATGAAAAGGTCAAAATCTTATCCAAACCTTTATCATGTAATAATTTAGTTTGCTTTCCATCCTCTATATAAGGAGGAACTCTTGCCCTTTAGAGGCAGACCGAACTGAAATAAAACGTGTTTTTATATATCATGAGTTCTTTCTAAGTTTCTCTCTGAAAACTTTATTTATGATGATTATTCTCTAGTCTCTGACTAGAAGTAAGTATGCTCTACACTTGTCTTTTCATAAGGATCATGTGTATTAGAAAACTTCTAGGCAGTAGTCCAGTAGCTATGGTCCTTCTTATTATGGCTTTGATAGATTGATTTAACACGAGTATAAGAAAAATGCATATAGGTTTGCTCAATGTATTAGAAAGTGCTATATGTTTCCATTTCTATTATGATATTAAAGGCTCCCGACCACATATGGTATCAAAGCCTAACAGTTATCTTATCTTGAGTTCCTCAAGGTTTATAGGCTGAAAAGTTGACATGCACCTATCAGATAGATTGTATAAATAGTCGTCCTTGTCTGTAATAATGCCACGAACACCTGATTTAACTCAGAGCTTAAAGACTTTGTTAAAAAAAGGATAAATGTGATAGTCATCATAAATAAAGTGAGTAAGATCTTTACAACCATGAATACAACCACAAATACTATCCAATCTTAAAAAAGATATTAATATTTTATAACTTTTAAATATTAAAAGAATTAATGTTATTAATATAAAAATATTAAATATTTTATCAAATTTATGAGTATTATTATATTTATGAATATTATAACAGATACTAATTTCAAAAAAAAATTTATGATGCTTTCAGAATATATATAAAAAGTCATATATAATAATAAATTTATTAAAAATTATAAAATTGAATATAATAATAATATAAAAACTATTTTTTTATTATGTAATATCTAACTTTATTCAAACACAATCTCAACACTCATTTCCTTAATTTTCCATTTCATTGTCGCCACTTAATGCACAAAACGAAAATTTTACTTTATGAAAAAAATGTTTTTTTTTTCTTTTTTGTAAGAAAAATATTGATCTTAATAGACTAAGTGAGAACTTTTTACGAAAATAATATAAAAAATAAATAAAAATATTGAAATAGACTTCTCCTATAAATATTTACCAAATTAAACACTTTTATTGTTGAGTATAGAAATCGTGTCCTTGGGACTGAATCCTGATCTTCTATTTCACGTTCTTAAAATAAATTTATTGATAGAATACGGTTTTGGGGCAATCGAATTTCAGACATAATTTTAATTTTTTTTCATTTTAATCTTTTTTTGTTTTTATATAATAAAAAATATTATGTAATATTTTATGTTTATATAATTATATATTGTCAAATTTAATAATAAAAAGATTGTTTTAAATAATAAAATAAAATTTATTATTTAAATTATATTTTTTTACATTGTGAAAATAAATATTTATGTTATGTTAATTTGTGTGAAATAATAATTATATATTTATATTATGTGAAATAATAAAGAATATTATATTTAATATTTATTTGAATTTTAAAAAATATTTATATATCAAATTAATAAAATTAATAAATAATATTTAGGTATATATTTATTTGAATATGTAAATGATAACATATTTTTGAATTAGTATTTTTTTAAATTAAAAAAAATTGTATATAAGATGAATAAAAATAATAAAGAATATGATGTAAAAATTTAAAAGTATATTTAAAAGAAATTATAATTTATTAAATATTTAATAATTAAAATAACACATAACGCAATATTGATAACAACATTCATTAGTGATTTTCAGTATCACTATCTCCGTAATGATGTCCAGTTGCACAACGAGGACGACGTCTGTTACGTGCTGGATTTCGTCGTTGTGGAAATTCAGGATGAACTTGTGGAGGATTATCAAGTTCTAGTTGTTGGAATGTAGCTGGAGAACTATCAGGTTCATTAGGAAAATCTGGTTGGTAAAAAGACTGCATGTAACTTTGTGCTGAAGATGGAGTTGTAAAATCAACTCTAAATAAGTTTGTAAAAAAAATCCTTTGAAATTGTTGCAAACGAATGTCTTTTGTCCATTATGTTTGCATGTGGTGTGATATCTAGTGGAGGAATTGATGTAGTCTCGTGATACAATGGTGTGGAAGTCGTACCGGTGGCAAATGTTGTGGTAGTGTTTAACTGCTAATGGTTTCTCTTTGGATCTTGTAGTAGTGGTGGCACAGATAGAAAATAGATAGAATTAGTAATGTACCATTGCATGTAATCTCGTATGTGACACAATGGGCTTGACATTGGATGACCTGTTAATGTCAGGTCACTCTATTGTTTCACACATCGATCCATTAAGCATGTCTTATGATCCAATTTTCATCATGTCTTCCTCTCATGTCAATTGTGTGGAGATCATGCAAATTATTGGATGGACAAGGGACTTCTTTTAAGAGCCGAAATTGTAATTTTACTCTATCTGATTGGTGTCATTTAACAATTGTAAAACAAAGGATAGTGGTACATGAAGTCTACATTCAGACATCTCTATAAGCTTCCACATGCATTGTTGTTTGCAATTCTTGATATGGTGCCCATAAAAATTACAAATAAAATTAACTTTGTTAAATAAGATAATATATAAAACAAAATATCACAAGAAAAAAATAAAATTATATTTATGAAGATTTACCTGATTAGGTTGAATGTGGTCAAACATTGATCTGTATCCCACAACATCATTATGAGGTTTATTCCGAAAGTTGAGGACTCTACCCCCACTCCATCTGCACACTAGAGCGTATGTTGGTGGATTATTAGAAATTGGCGCAATATATGGCATGCGATACCATACCCAGGACATTAACAGTGATGCACAACCACCCATTGTTTTGCTCCCGACTTCTGTGGCCTTGCACATTTCCCTATACAACATAGCTAAACAAGCAAACCTCTAACTATATCTTCTAGCTCTTCTAATATTAGTTAATAAAGCTAAATACATAAGATGAACTTTGTTGCCTGTTTTGTCAGGCATCAAAACACCTCCAATCAAACCCAATATATATGCTCTAACATGAGCGTAAACCTGCTGTTCAGATGGTTCATCTGGTAATGGTAACATGTTGTCTCTCAGCCACTTCAATTTCACCATAGAGCCAATAAGTGTCTCTCTCTTGACTGGCATGATACCGAGATATAAGTCACACATATCCTCCCAGTCAAACATTATTGGAGCAATGACTGGTAATCCATCAATACTTAGCCCCAGTTGAAGTGCAACATCCTCTAGGGTTATGGTGCACTCCCCTGTTGGAAAATGGGACGTGTGAGTTTCAGGTCTCCACCTCTCGATCAAAGCTGTTATCAATGCATGATCCACCTTAAGATGCCTTAGCTTTGTCACCCCAGCAAAACCAAGTTCTTCAAGTAAAGGAACAATTAAAGGATTGGATTCTGGCATTGAATGACAGAAAGATAAAATCATGTTCTCAGTTTCTAGCATTTATTAACAAATTAGTAACATGATACGTAGATCTTGAAAGTCATATTTATTAAAACTTACCGTTCTTCCAATGAAGGCGGACCTGTGTTTGTTTTGCTGCCACAACAACATTTTTAGTAATGGATGCAGGTTTGAATGAAAACATATAGCCTTGATAAACATATTTATAGATAAACTTTGGTATGAGAGAGGTGCTTGTGGTGTCATGGAGAGGTCACTCTCACTCGTAAAACGTGTTTGGCAGAGGAGAGAGTTATTACTTGGAAAGAGAAAAAGCTTGTGCATATGGTGTCATTGAGAGGTCACCGCCACTCGTAAAACGTGTTTAGTAGAGGAGAGAGTCATTACTTAGGAGGAGAGAAAGCTTGTGCATGTAGTGTTATTGAGAGGTCACCATCATTCGTAAAACGTGTTTGGCAGAGGAGAGAGTCATTACTTGGAAAGAGAGAAAGCTTGTGCATGTGGTGTCATAGAGAGGTCACCATCACTCATAAAACGTGGTGAAGCTTTGAATGAGAGGGAATCCAATGCTACCGTTATAAATAGTCATGTAGGTTGTTCATTTTCTTCATTCACCCTTTTAAGCTTGTTGCTTGTTCTTGTGAACCTACTCCTTCTAAGTTTGTTCATCTTTCACTTGGTTCAATCTCAAAATGTCTTTAATTTATGTCATTGTTCACTTTGATGGTGTCATCAACCAATGTCCTAATGAAGGAGTCACGTTCACCTCACCATCAGCCAAATTGGTACATCTAAACAGAGGAGTGACTCTACAAAGGCTGAAGAAAGTCATCCACACCAAACTTCACCGAGATGAAAATGAAAGGGTGGAAATGATACATTTTTGCTACCCAATTAGACTTGACCCGAGGGTTAGCAACTACATATGTGTTCAGTTGAACGATGATGAGGATGTTAAGGCACTCTTCAACATCTATGATTCTAATCAACTTCAATCAAGTATAGAACTATATGTTACATTTGCCACCAACGTAACCCAGGTACCACAACTTTCACCTTACCAAACTTTCGAAACCATTAATCCATCTTTTCCAACTTATGATATGAATTACGACCTTCAGTCTTACACACAACTTCACACTGGTGGTTTCATAGACCTCAATGAAATACCCTCCCAGGCAATTGAAGTAGAGCCAATTGAAGAACATGCTATTATGGGTCTCCTAACCGAAGTTTTTGATCCTTTAGTAAGGATGAAGATGAAATAATGTCACAATAGCAGGATAATGAAGAATACTCCCTCCCAGTTCCAAATATTCCACCATCAGAACCATTACCATTATACCACCCACCTCCATATTTTTTGGACTTTTGCAGTCAAATACATGAACATGACTCTGAGTTTGGCCACGTCCTTGATTGTGAAATGGTTGTGTATCTGCCTGGAACACTATTTGTTGGCTAGCGCTTCCTGACAAAAGAACATGTGCAAGATGTCATAAACAGATTTCACATTGTCAATCACTGCACTTACAAAGTGAAGATGTTAAGCACAACTAGGCTTGTCATAGAATGCGTTCACAACGACTGTGACTGGAGATGTCGAGCTATATTGCTCACCAAAGAGCAACACTGGAAAATAATGAAGCTTGAAGGGTGCCATACATATGTTTCCCCACTCATTTCACAGGATCATAACAACTTGAGATCACGAATGATTTCTCAAACTATTCATGAAATTATTGAGGCTGATCCATCCACACCCATCACAACCATCATAGCTCACATCAAGTCCACCATGGGTTATACAATCAGCTACAGAAAGAAATGGTTGGGGAAACAACATGCCATTGAAAATATATTCGAAAATTGGGAGGAGTCATACCACAAGTTACCTAATATGTTGCAAGCAATGCAATGTTCCAGGTTTCATCTGGAAGTTGAGTACACAACTGGCGTACAAGGGTGGCTTGTTGGACGGGAAAAATGTGTTCTTCAAGAGGTTGTTTTGGACCTTCAGGCCATGCATTGATGGTTTTGCCTTCTGCAAACCAATTGTTCAAGTCGATGGAACATTTTTGTACGGCAAATACAAAGGGACTTTATTGGTGGCAGTTGCGCAAGACGGCCGCAAAAAGTTAATTCCCATTGCCTTTGCTGTGGTTGAAGGTGAAACCAGCGATGCATGGTTCTTTTTTTTTTAGAAACTTAAGGAGGTACGTAACCCTGCAAGAGGGGTTGTGCCTCATTTCGGATCGTCCCGAGGCCATAAGAAGTGGATACTCCAGAAGTGGAAGTGGTTGGACGGAAAACAATTCTGTCTATGTCTATTACATTAGACACATTGCACAAAACTTCATGAGATGATTCAAAAATCCTACACTTAAGAAAGATGTCATCAATATGGGTAATTTTAATTTTTTTTCATACTTTAAATTATCATTAATTTTTTTACACTTGTTAATTTGACATATTTTTTTCAGCATATGGGATGACTGAACCGAGATTCTTTTACTATTACAACATAGTAAAAGATAATAATCCTGAAGCTGCATAATGGTTAGATAATGTCCCAAGGGAAAAATGAGCACTGGCGTGGGACAATGGACGACGCTGGGGACACATGACAACAAACCTAGTGTAGTCAATCAATTCGATCTTGAAGAAAGCTAGAAATATGCCAATTTGCTCCATGGTCATGGCGACATACACCCGTTGCAACAAGATCTTCATTGAGAGAGGCAGGGAAGTAGATGCAATGATTAATGCTGGACATGTGTACTCAGAGGTTGCAACTAAAACAATTCAAGATGCACAGTCAAAGGCAAACACTCATAAGTTATCACCTTTGACCGAACAAGCACTAGATTTTTAGTAGAAAGTAGGAAGATTTACAATACGGTTAGATGAAATGTGGTGTGATTGTGGCAAGTTCCAAAAAGTTCACATCCCATGCTCGCATATACTTGCTTCATGCTTACACGCACACCACAACGTTGACATCTACATATCTCTTGCGTATTCCTTACAACAATTTTTTAAGGTATATAAAGGTCAGTTTGGAAAACTAAGACACGAAGACTATTGGCCAACCTGCACTGGCCCAACTTTGTGTCCAAATCTAGAACTGAAAAGAACTTTAAAGGGTCGACCCAAGTTCAGCAGGATAAGAACAAAGATGGACATTACAGAACAACAAAATTGTGCAAAAAATTGTTCCTATTGTCACACTCCTAATCACACAAAGAAGACATGTCCAAATATTGGTCATGCATCTAGTTCTCGCCATTGATTTCTTTTTTTGTACTAGGTTATAAAGAAAAAAGAAAAGCTAACTAGAGAGGACGTTGTATTAATAAATGTCATAGTTTTACTTTCCACGCAACAGCTCCTTCAATCACTTTTGCATATTAGTATTAAAATTTCTCATGTTGCATTTAAAATGAAATACTTATTCAAAATAATATTATTATATTAATATTCATAATTCATAATACATATTTACATATTCAAATAAATATATATCCAAACATTCTTTATTATTTTTATTAATTTGATATACAAATATCTTTTTAAATTCAAATACTTATTTAAAATAATATTTTTATATTAATATTAATAATTCATAACACAAATTTACATATTCAATATAATATTTTTTATTATTTCACATAATATAAATATATAATTATTATTTCACACAAATTAACATAATATAAATATTTATTTTCACATAATATAAAAATAAAAATATGATTCAAATAAATTTTATTTTATTATTAAAACAATCTTTTTATTATTAAATTTGACAATATATAATTATATAAACATAAAATATTACATAATATTTTTTTATTATATAAAAACAAAAAAAATTAAAACAAAAAAGATTAAAATTATATCTGGAATTCAGTTGCCAAAAAACCGAATTCTATCAACAAATCTATCTTAAGAACGTGAAATAGAAGATCAGGATTCGGTCCCAGAGACACAATTTCTATACCTCAACGGTAAAAGAGTTTAATTTAGTAAATATTTATGGTAGAAGTCTATTTCAGTATTTTTATTTATTTTTTATATTATTTTCGTAAAAAACTCGACTAAGTGAAGCTGATTTTTGGAAATAGGACAAGTGAATAAAACCAAAGCCCAAGAGGTAAGAGTGATGAGGAGCCGAATTAGACTTGTGTGGTTGCAGGAAAAATTTACAGGCAACACCAAACATTTAATGTTGATGTTTATCTACAAGTTGTTTTGTTTTACTTCTTCTCTTTCTATGTTGCTTAAAACCCTAGAGGAAATGGAGGGAGGTGACGCTGTTTTAATAATGTGAAGATCAAGGTTCAGACACATCATTATTAACAAAGCAACGTAGTTAACTCTCTTAACGGGTCACAAGTGTAGTCCAATTAACTGAAGGACGAACTGACGAACATGAATAATGGTATAATTTATAAGACCTGTGTTTTAGTTATAAATCATTTTAGATATTTATTCCACAAATATGAGATATTGGTCATTTTCACCTTTTTCTTTTTTGATGATCAGAGAAGCTTTCTTCCTTTTCTCGAAACCTTTATGTGCGGACAGCAACCTTTTTAAGATGTGTTTTTAACACTTTATTTATCATATTTTTAGTTTATTGTTTAAATTTATTAAAAATTATAAAAATAAGAAAAAAAATTTAAGCTAGTAATAAAAAATTACGACATTATTTTTTTAAGTTTAATATATTTTAATTAATAAATAAAAGTGTGTTAGAAAAAATACAATTTTTTGAACACTTTTTCCTTTAATGTCATGCGAGTCAGTTTCAACTTTCAATAATGCCACTTATCACAAAACGTACCGATGCTCTTGTCCCTTTCTGGATTATTATTATTATTATTATTTTCACGAAATAGCTTCAATTAAACGACAACCATTAACCAATTAACACAAATTCATCAAATAGCAGCATCTTCTGTTCGGTGGCAAGTCCTGTTTAAGCATGACTTTAGCTTCAAGTGTAACTCTGAACAAGCACCACTACTTACGGAGAGAACCTCACCAGAGGTATTTACTATTTGAAGCAGTCAAACAAGCATTTGAATCACAAGTTGAATTTTCTCAATATTCATAAAAAGTGTGTGTGTATGTCATTTTAACTTGCCTTTACCTTAAAGAACGGAAAGCTTAGTGGGGTTTCAGTAGGCTGCAAGGCCACTATCAATGAAGCAGATCAATTCGAGCATCAACACAAAGTGTTCATACAAGAGGGTATTGGTATTTGGTGGTTCAATATAATAATATATATCCTCTTGTGTGAAAATTTGGATCAAGTAGTTTCCACCATGGGTGTCTTCTACCATGAACATGAAGAGCCACCAAACCATACCAAGAGATGCAAATGCCTTGGTGAGACTCTGAAGGAAGTGTTTTCACACTGTCAAACTTTTAGTCGACGGCTTTCAACTACAAGCCTTGAGGATGAGTGCTTCAACAGTGATATTGATGAGGAACAGCAAGTACATTCAATCCACTTTTCAACTTTCATCATATTCATATACCCTTCTGAAAAGTTCTTCACTTTTGGTTATTGTGAATTCATGTTGAACTTTGAAGTTTGAAGTAACCTCAGAGGTAATTGTTGTTCTCTTGTGCAACTTCCTCAGGTTGTTGTCTCAGCAGTTAGAAGCCGAGCTATGGAAAAACAAAAGCACAAGTTAAGCCCATTGAAGGAAGTGTTTGTGACACACACAAAGGCACCAAGGGTGGTAGGTGATGGAGAACAAGATGAAAGAGAAGAGTTTTTGTCCGTTAAAAGTTGTCTCTCACGCTGTTCTTCAAGTGGAGAAGCATTTTATTCTGTGAAAACTAACCTTTCAAGGTGTTCAAGCATGAATGAACTTGACATCACAGAATTTTGGAGACGTTCAATGATTCAGGAGTTTTGTCATTGTGAGGGATGGCCTTTTGGTCTGTGCCGTAAAGCTGTGTTGCTTCCACCACTGCCCAAGTCTCCATCTGAGTCATGGCTGTCGCGGAAAATACAACGAAGCACCAAAGTTACTTGAATTTATGTAGCTTTTACTGAATTTGCCTTTCCTTTTTCAACTATGTCTAGAATTAGTAAGAATCAGAATTTAGTTTAAGATTATCAAATGAAATCAGAAATAGCTCTCAAGCTTCACTAAAGATATCTTTCAGAGACGAGAAAATTAATCCTTTGGGCTGCATAAAGATTATTAGTGTTTTTTGTCTGTCTTAAGTTTAAAGAACCCAGCTATCTCCGACTTTGTTGATAAAATAAATGAGGTAAAGCAAATTTTTATACTATTGCATAACAGAGGAATGCCCAGAAATCAGTTTTCTGAAATTTACTACGACTAAAATATCAACCAAAACAAGACGAACTTTGTCTACTAATTGGCCAAACCGCCAAGATCAGTTAAAAGAATATCTTTACTTAAACTACTTTAGCTTCAAGCTTTTAGCTGATACATACATGAACAAAAAACAATAACCAATGGTGCCTTCATCTTTCAACCAGCAAATCTCTTTAGTAACTATGCTGATACATTTGGCTAGATAAAGAAAAGGAAAATCTAAAAACTAGCACCACCGTTTTGCTTGGCCTAGGACGAATTTTATTACTTCGTATGATACAATGGTCTTCACATTTATGAAGACAAGCGCATTTCATCAAATATTGTAGGCGTTTTAATGTTTCATTTTCTCTGAAACGCGTGCTTGCAGATACAAAAGAGGAGTAGCTATACATAATTAACTTCTTGACTTGTTATTTTCACATTTTCAAGAAGATATAAACAAGTCCCTAAAATTTCAACAGCATTATTATCTTATTGAAAGTGACATTGAAACTGAAAGAAAATCCGGCATAAGAATAATTATGGTTAACAAAGTTATGCGCTCTTATTTCCATGCCATCGCTTGACAATAAAAAAGGTCAGGAGAAACAAATCGAACGGGTCTATAGCCATCAGAAGCATGATACAAAACACAAACAATTACATGCACTGTTTCTAAAATATTTCTGCTATGCTCTTTGCTCAACATATGAACCAGCAAGTCCAGAAGTTCCAAGAACAGTAACCTGCAATAGAAACCCCAGATAAGATAAGTAAATGTGAATTGATCTGCATTCATAAATGCAGCAATGCTATTTCCTACGGAAATATTTTATACAAAAACCATTACGAATGGCTAATAAGTAAACCAATCATGATGGGAAGGAGAAAAAATCAAAGTTGAAAAAATAGAATGAAGTTGACAAAACACAACAATTTTCCTTACATTTTTCTCCTTCTAAGAGTTATTTTATGAAAGCATATTCATACTATATCACATTATTTTATAAACAACCATATAAGACGGAGTGACAGACTACCAACCAATAATGTATGAAAAATTTAATTCACCGAGGACTTTGAAAAAGCACATGAAAAAGTTAAAATGATAATCCAGTAAATGTTACATACAATATTTCAAGGACTTAAAAATCTTCTTGCAATTAGCAAATGCACACAATAATTTCAATTCAGTGTACTGAATTGGGCTATGCTGGTTTTGGGCGGCCTTCACCATAAACCTCTATGGTGTGAAATTTTCAAATGGTGGTGCCGTGGTGTCAACCATGAATAGTGGCAGCCATAAATTTGCGTGCTATGGCAAAATACCCAAGTGAAATCAGCAGATTTTTTGGATATTTCACCTCATTTTTCTCTTTCAGACAATGGGCTTGAGATTGTCAATGTAAGCCTTAAGGGTGAAAATGACTAAAGGGAAACTGTGCAGAGATCTCTGAAAACTAACACACAAACACTTTTGCAGCTATGGATTAATGGAACTCATTTAGAAACATACCCCCATTGGCCCCCACCACTGATAATGTAATTTGAAAATTGAAATACTACTAGATACGTGACAATGAGGGAAAATATATGATACCTTTCCCCACTCAGAACCAAGGCCACTGCATCTCATTTTTAAGTGAATCATCTTTGTGCCCAACTCTGTCTCCACTTTCTTCCGCAGATAGCTCTCATCAGGCCCAAATGAATTCAAATAGGTGGCGTAGCGATCAAAAATGGTTCGCAGAGCATTTTTTATATGAGGAGGCAATGGCTTTACATCCTATAAAAAAGAAATTGAATTGTCAACCTAATATAAAGGTCGAATGAGAATAGAATGCAACAGCATAATTTTACAGGTATATGTGTAAATTGACATACCTCACCACTCAATCCAATGCTATCATCAATTTCCATTTTTAAGGTGTCTAGAATCCCACCAAACTCCTCAACAGCTTCAGCTACACGGAACACATTTTCCACAACCTCCTTGCCAGCTTTGTCATCAGTACTTTTAGATAGCGCATTCTTAACATCGTAAACAACAGAATCCGGAAGCTCACTCCAATTTTCAGCCATCAAATCCTTGAAAGCATTTTGAAGCTCGGGGTCTTTAATATTAGGCATGTGGGTAACATCTTCACTATAGAATCGCTTGCTTCCTAAGCCCATTGAGAAAGGAGATCCGCACTCTGCGAATGTTTTTCATGCAAAACTGATTCAGTACATAATAGCCATCCTATGTACAACACTCTAACTCAATGCCAAACAATCAACAAAACAACAGAAGCAAACATGCTCAGAATGATTAACATTCACCATCCTCTCTCAATTCAACACATGCAGAGGTTTCAAACTCGTACTTACTCTGATTAACCAAATTCATAATTAAAGTGAATCATTATCGGCTGGGAGCCACTAACAACATGAAATCACTGTTCACACTCCACTACACCATGACACCACCATCAATTTTGTCACCAGAATACAAAATCATGCATTCCAATACTAGTGTCTGCCTGTCGTTTAAGACCATTGATGGATGCTTTCTTCAGCGCGATTAAACATAAAAAATATAGCAACAACATTAAGTTCACAATGAGGTGAAATTAACAACTTTGGTTCCAAATAATTTCAATTTGTAGAGCCTGTATCCAGGCTGATAGAGTCAAATATACAATAGCAATGGATTGATTCAGTCATGGAGTTGCAAAATCGAAGTCACAAAGATAACGAAGAAACTACCCACAGACACCGTAGGGATTCGAACGAACACGAGATATAACGAACATGAACAATAGCATCTTATTCGTTAAAGCGTCGCATATCAGTAAATTGAATATTAAATCAGAGACCAGAATAATTTAATTTAATTTTTAAAAAATCAAATTCAGTGTTGCGGTGAAAAATGCGAGGGTTGTGGGATGAGTAATAAAAATGATGGAAAAGAAAAACCTAATAGAATAGAGAAAAGTACCTGAGGGCGAGGGAGAGGGATTAGGAGAGCGTGAGAGAAGAGAGAAAGAAACGGTTCGAAGGGCGAAACGGTTGGTGGATGAAGGCGCGGCGAAGGCATAATGAGATCTGAAACTCACTGATCGGAACAATGATCTGAGTCGCACCATTTTCTCCATCTGTTTGTTCAACACTCCGTAATTTGCAACTCGGGGATTCTCCTTGTCCACCTCCAGACATTGCACTTAAATCCAATTTATGTAAATAATTAAATTAAATTAAATAATTTTAGTTAATCAAATTTGTGCTTGGACCATGAGATTTTTAATTTGAATAACAAAATATAGATTTAATTTAAAAATTAATTAGTGAGTCAGGGATTTATAACAAAAATTATGCAAGTAATTTATAACTTTCATATGTTGTTTTTAATTTGTGTCAACCCGTGTTATGCTGAAAGTTATGGTATTAAGAAATATTTAAATATAATATATAATTAAGTATTTATTTAATAAATTATTTTTAAACAATATTTTTTCACATAAATTTAATCATATAATTGACTTATTTATTTAAATAATATTTTTTAAAACTAATTCTAAAAATAGGATGAGTTTAACACTATTTTTTTGTGTATGATATTTTTCAACAAGTCACCTTGTCACTTTATGTCTGATACAATATTTTTAATAATATTTTATTATTCTATCATCCTACTGCAACTAATACAAGGGCTAAAGTTGATATGTGACGAAGATCAAGCGTGTATCGTCATAAAAAGAGAGATAAATTTGACAATAATGATTAATATATGTGTCATTTCTCATAATAATATCAGATAATCAAGAATGATAATATTGTTATTGGTCAAATTACATTAATAGTATCAAACATGCAGAGACATAATATTGCTTGTCAAACTGTGTAATGAAATATTGTTTTATCTTATGGTCCAATATTTAATACACCTTTTTATCCATTTTAGATGGTATAAATTGCACTACCAGAAAGTAGCGAAGAAGTTTATCAAAGTTAGTAAAATTTAGAATTTTATTTTTTTAAGTACGAGATTTAATTTTTGTAAGTTTAAAAATTTGTAGAATTTCATATGGGTAGTATTTAATTGTAAGATATATAAATTATTTTTAATTGTTAGTTTAAATTGAAATTTTTACATTGTTATAGAAATTTTGTTAAGAAAGAAAATAATGAAGAATATATCGTGTAAGAAAAATGTAGAGAAGATGTAGTATTTAAAAAAATGTATAATTATTTTATACAGTATTAGTGATTACAAATGAAATTTTTTTTTTAGATGTTAAATAAAAAATATGAAATGTGGAAGTAAAATGTAGAGAAAATGATAAAATTTTTGACATATTAGTCATTATATGGGTACTAGTTTCTTTTATAATTTTTTTGTATTTTAGTAGTTGTTAAAGAGCTTAATAAGTTATGAAAGCGTAATAAAAAATTAATTTAAAAAAAAATTGAAAATATGTAAAGCACGGTAGTAATTGTTTATATTGTATATGAGTATTTGATTGTATATGTCAATAATTGATAAATAAGTGTATTTTTATAAATAATAGTTAGAGAGTATTTATGGAAGACATTGATTATGTAAATAAATTTTTTTTGTACATTATATGGACGTTTGATGTTAAATTTTGATGATTTAGGAAAAATTTGTGATATGTGAATTTAATTTGTTGATGCAATTTTGTGATTATCGTATATTAGAATAGTAAAATATTTTCAAATAATGAGGGTATTACATTTGAAGGAAATAATAAAATGATTAAGATTGAATGTGGAATAAGTTTTGAGACATTGAAAGCAAAGATACATATAAAATTAAAATTGTCTACTAATGAGATTATATCTAGATTGATTTCACAATTTTTAATAGATCCAATTAGTAGACAATACATAATTATAAATATATGTGATGATGAAAATATTGATTGCATGTTAAGTGAATTTTTTACAACAAAACTAGAGAAGTGCAATTGAAGTATATGTAGATATTGCGTTTGGTGAGACTTCTTGTATTCGGTCACAATGTGTGGACTTAAATTTATCATTTTCATGTGATAATATTTGTAAGGATGATGAACCTGAATTTGGATCAAGTATAGTAATGTATTTGGTTTGATGATAATTTATATTTATTTTTATTGTAATTATGTTAATCTAATAATAAATTTTATGGTGATGTAGAAAATGAATACGATGATGATGATGTTGATAACAATGAAAATGAATGAGAAATTTTATCAGATAGTTCATTGTGGAAGGTGATTTAAATTCAATGTTGTTGACAATGTAGAATAAGGAGGTATTATATATTTTACAAATAATTTTTAACTTTCATGAAGAAAGTAAAATAAGTTGATTATAAATTTGATATACAAGCACAATTGAAACTCCTTATTGGAATTCAAGTTCGCCTTATGCTTATATTAATCTAAATTTGTTATCTACTTGATGACTAATGACATACTCTTTTGTTTCAATCTTATAGATAGATCTCAGAACATGTAATTGCATACACTCTAACCATGTTAACAATGTATTATATGATTTATCATAGTCACTTTTAGTTTTCCCTTCTAAGTTTTTTTTACGAAATTTTATATCCAAATTAAGCAGTTATCCTTTCTTAATCTAAACTTATAGGCATTGATGATTTTTGATTCACCATGCATACACCAAATACAACAATCCAACACAAAATAATGTTTCAAACTCATATTTTAAATATTAAAAAATATAATACACATTGTATTTATATATGTACTGTAACACCCCAAATTTAGTAATGATATTTTAATTATCAAGGTAAGTATGTGTGTATACATATATGTGAGTATTAACTTGGGTTGGATGAAGCTGATGGAAAATAGTTTAAGTGTGTAGTACTGGGGAGCTCTCGTTGCAGCGAGAAGACCTTGGGAGAAGGACGTGAAACTGTCGCATTCTCGCTGTAGCAAGAGTGTCTCGCTATAGTGAGAGGTCGGCAGTGAGGGGTGCATTTCTGGGCGCAGTTTCGCTGTAGTGAGAGGGTCTCGCTGTAGCGAGATTTTACAGAAATCAGAGTGCAGTTTTCTCTGAGTAGGGACAAGGAGCGTCGCTGCAGCGAGAGTGTCGCAGTCAGAGGAGTATTTAAAGGGTTGAGAGTTTAGAAAAATGCATTTCTCACTTTCCCTTCATTCTCTCATTCGGTTCTCTCAATCTCTAGCCTTTTTCACTTATCAAATTCCCTTTAAGCCATTTGTGCCCTAGATTGAAGGTTAGATTCGTGTTTGGAACATTTGAAGGTAAGTATATTGAGTTAGGGTTCTCAGTTTTTACCCCCTTCTTCATCTATCTTAGTTTCTCATGGATTATTCCATGTGTTTAGGGCAAGAATCCCTGTGAGTGGTGTTTCTACCATTGATTTCGTGGTGGGCCTCCATTCCAAGGTAAGGGGGAGTAAATCTCAAACCCTAACCTCTCTTGGGTAGTTAGAATGGGAAATCTATAACTATTTTGATAACTATCTAAACGTAATTTGTAATAAGGGTTGTAAATAAAACTATTTTTGAAGGAACACTACGTTTTTAGTAAACAAACATTGTTTGGGGTAGTTGAAATGATGTCAAACCTTAGGATAGATGATCCTATTGTTATTATTGAGAAATGTGAGTGATGGGTTGTACGACTGGGCTGAGTCTGGAGGTGTTCGACCTCTGGCACATTGTATTGATTGTGTGATGTGTGAAATGGTGTGTTGGATGAATATTCAATGATGATTGAGATATGTTGGCATTGGTTGAACAAGGTTGTAATGAAGAGTGTTAAAGTATTGCGAATGAATGAGTTGGTTGATGATACTTGCATGATGAATGATATAATTATTGTATATGTGTTGTTTAATGGTTGAAGTATGCAAAATGATTGAACCGATGATATAATGCAAGTGTTTGACTGTTCTTAAATAAAGAAAGGTTTTCTGTGTGATGAGATTACGGTGTCACAGTGAGCATGACTACTTGCAGTGAGTGCACATGTGAATGAAATGCTGGAAAAAATGATTATAACACGGGAGTCAGAATAGATGAATGAATGTGATTGCAATACAAGTATTATGGTACGACCCAAAGGGTGTATTTATAATATAAGTATTGTAATACATCAAATTATTTGGTTAAGACTCACGTATTATGACACGTTGCCCTATAAAAGGGTGTGGAAAAGAATGAGAAATGTGGTGGTAAGTTTAGATAGCTACAGAGATACAACTAGGGGTATAAAGTCCAGAGAAGATTTAGAAAATTTTGGGAAAATGAGGATGATGAATGCTAGTGTGAATAGTGCACAACGATTTGCTGAAAATGAAAGGCATTCACAGGCCGCACACTTATCTTCTGACAGGTCTCCTTACTATACCTTTGCTAGAAGGGGTCGACACACGTATATTTGTGTTGCTGCGCCTAACCGGCAGGTATCTAAACTATGAAGTCCTCAAGGGATCCCAGGGGCATTGAATGTGAACGTGAAATAAACGCGAAATTGTGATGTGTGTGAAGTAGTATAGAAATTGTACATTTGTAATATATGCATTCTAACATGTCTGTTGATATTGTTATGATATATGTGTTGTAATACATCGGCAGGTGCGATTAGGACACATGTGTTGTGACATATTGATTGACGTAGTATAATACATGTATTGTGACGTGCAGATTAGTAGAAAAATGCATGTTATGAAAGTTTGTGAACGAGATTGATTGTCTATCTTGTGTGTACTAACTTGTGATAGTGAGTTGTATGACATAAGTGTCAGTGTTAACTCAATCCATGTCAGAAAGTACTTTAGTGATATATATTATATATATATATATATATATATGATTATTTTGTTATTTTAAATAAGAGATTTAGTGGGGGCGAGAGATACTTACCATTACTAATATTTTCAGGTAATGAAAGTGAAGAGATAAAGAAGTCTGGTCCGTCCTAGAATCATAATCCAAGGGTATTGGAAGGAAGACTGCTCTATAGAGACTGAGATAATTTGAGAAAATTGTATTATTTTATTTAATTATATTTTGTGCTGACCAAAGTTTGTAAATAATTTCAGTGTCAGAATTTAGAATTTAAATACTTGAGCAAATTTGATTGTAAAGAATATTTTGGGGAATGCCCTTAGCAAAATTTCAAAATTTATATATATTCA